AAATGCAAATAGGAAACCACAATGTGCTGTGCTCTCTTTTGTTTTGAGTTTTGTCAGTCATGGAATCCTAAAAAAGCCTATTGAAGTGCTGAAATGAAAAATAGGCAAACTCCATTCTGCTCTGCTTGAGTATCATTAAAGAATCCTGAACCTTCAGTTGTTTAAAAGCATATAATTTATGTGCATTATAAAACCATCCTTTGTTTTCACAAGTCAACATTCTTAATGCGGTCTGTCAAAATGCATTCTTACTAAATTGCTTTGATGAACATGCCAGCCCAGTCACTTTCTTTTAAGGGGAAGAGAAGAAGGGGGGATGAGTTTGCAGCAGCAAAAAAGAAAGTAAATAAAACAGGTCTAGACTTTGCTACATACTTTACATCCCAGGTTGCAAATAATGTAGCAGAACAGTTTCATGAGCCAGGAGTCTACCTCCAAATTTGCGATTCAAAAGCCCTGTTTTTGTTTTATAACAGATATGTAGCACCAATTTCAGCTTCTGCCCCATGGACTCACTCATTAACAGGTCCTCAGCATGCACAGACTTGATGGAATTGTAAACGTACAGCTAGGAAGGCAGTCAAACCTGAGCTCCGACACGGAGGTACTATGCAAACCTCTCTATCCTGTACACCCCTACCATGAGATCTCACCTGTAAGCCCTCAAGCACTTAGTCTTTGTTACTTTTGAAATTACTCTTCTGTGTGCAGGAGTAACTAAAAGAACTTAGTAAAACTTTCTGTATATATTTTCCTAGAATATTTAAAACAAAGTTCTGAGTTTCCCTCCCCTCCTCTAGGCGGGGAGGTGGTGTTTTCTATAAAAATGTAGGAGAAATGAGTAGCAGAGACATGCATTTGCTGTCTCTCTTAACTGGGGCTCTTGATGAATTGAGCCTTACCCTAAAACATGTTGATTCAAACAAATAAAACAAGACGCATTATCTCATTATATATCTTTTTAAGTGTATCTGTGGGTGAGTGGGTGCAGATAGTCACACAGACACACACGCGCACACACACACGCACACCCCTAGAGAAAATTACTTATATCTGACTTTGGTGCTACCCAACTCTAGAGAGCCCATCACTTCATTCACGTTGGTCCAATCACTCTGCAAAACATGTCAGTCTGGAGGGAGATTCTCTCTGGAATTTCCATATTTCAGTTGATTCCTAACTGGTGTCTCCTGGGGCAGAAAGATGAACAAAAGCTTTATCCAAAAAAGCTACCACCTCCTTATATAATACAGTGTCAAATAAAGAAAATCATCAGTGAATATGTTACTGTGGGGACGCAAATAGTCCCCATGATTTTGTCCTACTTCCTACCTGGATACCAATATCAACCTGACATTCTTTTGTTTACCACATCTCACCGGGGTATAAAATGCCCTTCTAATAAAGGAGCTGTCAAAATGTCCTTGCTCTGAATCAGAAAGGCATTGCTCAGGATCTCTTTCAAAGGCTTAGGAGGAAGTTGCAGCAGGTTTATGCCCTTGATTTACTACATGTCAAGAGGAAACTTGTCAGGGAGATACTAATAATCTGAGACACTGACTGGTGGATGGAGCATGGGGCCATGGCCCATTGAGGTGGTTCTGGAAGCCCCACAGTTGCATCCCTCCCATGGTGATACTTTGATGACTTCTGAATTGTCTTTAATGCATCATCAGTCTCTCCAGAAGAAATTCACACACTTGCATTTGAGATTCAAGACTTTCCAGAATGCTGGGGGAGAAGTGAAAAGTAGATAAAGATAGTCTGACTTTCAAGACTTAACACTGGTTGCTCAGACTTGGTGTCTACTCTTACCACCTACTACTGCTTCTTCCTGTGAAGGGCCTGTCCCGTCAGCCTGGTCAAGTCTCTAGAGCCTGATCACCTCCTTCCACACACTCAACATACCCCTCCCGACTCCCAGACCACACCCAAATCCTGTTTTCCTCCACACAGAATAACGCCCTTTCTTTGAATCCCAGATCACCCCCATACCATGATGGAGCCAGTCTCATCTCAGGTCATAGGAGTACTTTCCAACTATGCCCTCATTTGACCATCCCACCCTTTCTATAAAGCTGTTCTGTGAATATTTCCTAGCTAACCCCTACTCTGGAAGCAGGGAAGCCCAAAAGATAAGATTCAATATGACACAGCAAATGGTTGAGTCACATCTATGGAATATGCAATTTTTTTTTCCAGAAGAATGTTGCTTTTCTCAATATGATTGTAAAATACAGGGTGATTAAAGATGTTCAAGTACCAAGTAGTTAATGGTCTTCGTCTAGCTGTGTGTGGAAACAGTTATTTCCAAGCGTGAAGACTTGAGAAATGTACAAGAGTATAAAGGTATGGGCTACACCATGTGCGATGGGTTAAGACTGCATGACCCACATCTTTACACTTTGGAAAGCCTATAGAGGCCATGCTAAAATCCCTAAGGCCAGGAGACCCGCCTGTGTTGTTCAGCATTGTATTTATAGAATCCTGTGTTGGAAATGAGTGTTTCTCTCAAATATTTGAATTATACTCAATGAGAGAATGAATACATGTGAGTAAATGGAGAGCAAATTCTAGTATTGTGATGAAATCAAGCTGTTAGGACCAGAAGCAAAGGCACCCCACTGCATCGTGTAGTGGGAGACATTTCTTCCAGGGAAGGAGGGGTTTCCTATTCCCAACTGACCTTGAGAAATGCAGATCAAAGTACAGAAATTAGAATTAAGAGAAGAAGCGTTGGACTTAGTTGAGGGGGAGATTCCTTCCCCCCTTTTGGATTTATGGTAAACTTAGTTCTGGGGGCAGAGTTATATTCCATGGGTGTTCCTGGGGGTGACATTAGGTTATTCTTGACTGTGAATTGGCTTCCAGTTGTTCTTCTGTTGAATGAAGATCAGCTGGGCCAGTCTCTTCATATATCCAAACTAATTTAATCTTCAGAAAACTGAGGCTTAGACACTATATTCCTTGTCCCATGAGCTTGAGCCCCATACAGACTGAATAAAATCTGTCTGTTCTGTGGGTCATTTCCAGCTTGTTAGTTAAAACCTATTTGGTCATCTGAGGCCCATCATTCTGAAGGACATGGGCCATGGCTTATTCTTTTTTTTCTTAAAGATTTCATCGAATTATTTATTAGAGAGATAGAGCACAACAGCACAGGAGAAAGGGGGGGGTGGGTAGAGGGAGAGGGAGAAGCAGACTCCACGCTGAGCAGGGAGCTCGCCGTGGGGCTCGATCCCAGGACCCCAGGATCATGACCTGAGCTGAAGTCAGACAGACGTTCAACCCACTGAGCCACCCAGGTGCCCCCATGGTTTATTCTTTATGGCTCACAATGCCTGGCACAGATAGACCTTGTCCTAGTACATTTCCATTTACATTCATTTTGTTTTCCTTACTAGGTTTTGTAGTTTGCTTGTGTTGGGCTCCTTATTCAAGCAAATTAAGCAAACATGAGACTTTCGGCCTCTCTGTTCATCACAACCAACATGTCAACACGGAGACTGGTAGATCTCTATTGCTCATTTGTGAACATATGTGTTACTTGGGCACAACGTGACTTAGACTTGACCAGTCATCCGAATGAGTATTTGACATCTCAGTTCTCAGTAACTGTTTTGGGTAATGCCAGCTCTGGCTACACAGAGTACACCGGTAGCGCTCTGTCGTAACCCCTTCAGCAAGACGATGGGAGAAGCAGGAGGGGTGTAGTTCCAGTCGCTGAGGGGTGGTCTTCCACTTCCACGGGCCTGGTATGAGTTTGAGCAGCTCTACCTTATTTGACATCACGGTCAAGTGGAGCTAATATTTATCTTCTTCAAGTTGTGCTCTTTACATGCTTCACATGCTCACATGCCATTAGTATTTGCAACATGCTTTAAGTTCCTGAGATTCCTGCTCAGACCTCAAGTATGGCGGAGGGTGGTTTGAATAGAGTGGATTTGAGGGCTCTGCAGATGGGCAGCCTGGGAACATTTCAGAGGCATAGCTAACAATAGCACCTGGCTGAGGTGGTCTGGAAGCTTCTCTCCATTCCCTTTGACATCCATTTGCTGGGGACTGGGCTGACAAATTGAGACTCAATTAAATTTCAGGGGTCTCAGATCCTGAAAATTAAAACCGTGGCATGAGATTACCTCTAATTAGTGCTCCCGGTTTATAGATTCATGATTTATTTGTGAGCAGTGAAAAACCCTAAATCATATCTGCTTTGGAATATAAAGCATTCATTCTTATCACAGAGAAACAACCCCCTTTCTAAACCCTGTGGTTTCAGGAAATAAACTGGATTTTTCCCTTTTCACAGAATATTTGACAGCATGTAACCTTAGCAAATCCAATGTGGCCAATATTTGACTCTGCAAAGACACTACAATTTAAGGATACATTATTTTAATTGCTCTTTTAAAAATTTTATTTTTCCAGCATTTAGATGTAAGCAATGATATCACGTAAGCTTGGGGTTCACAAACATTCACCTATCTTGCATATTTTGCCACCTTACAAGATGTTTCATGTAGGATTAGCTACAGGCTTGAGTAAATATTCATAATAAACAATATATTATTTTTTAGGTTTGTATCAAATGCCTCAATCATTTTAGTTACTAATAAACATGAACCACTTATGTTTTTGTCACATAGGAAAATTTGTCTGTTAGACTCTGGCAAGTGGATTGCTAGCAAGTATCAGAGAGCTCCAAGGGACTGTGGACACCATGGTTTCATTTGAATATGGTTTTGTTTGTTACTGTAAAATATCACAATCAAGGGGCGCCTGGCTGGCTCAGTTGGAAGAGCATACAACTCTTGATCTCAGGATCATGACTTCTAGTCCCATGCTGGGTTATCAACATGACTTAAAAAAATGCATAAAACTTAAAAAAAATACTACATTCAAGACCAAAGTATACAAAAAATAAGATAATATATATAATATATATATATATGGTGTTGTGTGATCTCATCTATATCTATTATTTTGTTTCTGGTGACCAGGAAATAGAGAAAACGGAAGAGCAATGATCATCAGAAGGCAAGACGGTGATTGTTAAAAGCCAACTCTATTTTTATCTCCAGCACCTTGCTGAAAAATCGGTAAGCCCCCACGTTTGTACCTGACATGAGCACATCTGCAAAGGTCACACTCTCTGTAAATGTGGATTTCTTACTGCAGGCTTCATTCTCAGATTCTTGGCCACATCCCTCGCATTGAATGCAGCGAAACGTTTTATAGGGTGGAGGTGAGCCTGTCATATCCTCTCTTTGAGTATGAGTTAATGAGGAATAAAAAAGAAGGGAGATTAATAGAAACCAGGTTCTCATGGTTGCAAACCAGTGTCGGGGGTTCGTATAAACCCAGAAGAAGCATTCTAACAGTAATCGTGAAAATTCTGACCTTTAAACGTGCACATCCAAAAAAGTAAATGAAAGCTTCAAAGACTTGAATCAGTTCAGTCGCCAGGAAGACTGAAATGGCCATTGACCACAGAGAGCTGATTATTCCAGTTCTTTTAAACACCAGGGCCAAATTACCACTTGACATTTTAAATTATTGTTCGGGAAGGTAGTCGTAAAGAATTGCCTGGTGATTTGTTTTTGTTTGTTGTTTTTTTTCTGTAGTCACCTCACCTTAAAATTCGAGAGTGCTGTCAGTGAGAAAACCTTTCTTAGATACAATAGTTTGATTAATCACTGAGATATGAAGGGTTAATCTTCTCTCAGTGTCTTCGTTTTCTCCCTTGGCCCCACAATACTGTGCATTTCGAGAGGTTCTTCACCATCCTCTGCATCTATCTCTGCACAGGCCACTCTCTGAATGATAACAGTGTGTTACTGCCTTAGTCTGTTGGGGCAGCCACAACAGAACAGCACATGCTGGGGGGCCCCTAAACAGCAGACATTTCCTTCTCACAGATCTGGAGGCCAGCAACAGAGCATTCAGTGTCTGCGGAAGGCCCGCTCCCTGCTTTGAGGACAGCCGTCTTCTCACTGTGTCCTCACACGGATGGAGGTATGAGGCAGCTCTCTGGGGTCTCCTTGAGAAGGGCACTCCTCTCACTGATGAGGGTGCAACCCTCCTGATGTAGTCACCTCCCAGAGGACCTCTTCTCTAACACTAGGGCTTACGGTTTCAGCACACCAACGGGAGGGGACTGGTGTCAATAACGCCTATATATGGAGTTTTGAAGAAATGATCCTATATGTTGTCCTGTTAACATTCTGATGGGCATAGACACACTGCTACAGGCAGCATGGGGAGTTGGTATGAACACAATATCACACAGGGCGGGGGGTGACACTCGGTCTAAGGTACGGGAATCATCCCCCCCTGGTACCAAACAGCAGAGTCTCAAGGCTGGAACAAAATCAGTGATCTGACACAAAAGAGATTTGCTCCTTCCCTTTTGCTATTTCACATTATAAGTAACACAGGAAGACGTTCACCAAAAAAAAGTTAAATGAACAGCCGGGAAGCTAAGTGTTGAGGATTCTTTGCTCTCAACATCACAGATACATAGGTAGCCTTATAGAAATGGATATAAAAATTGGGTAACTGTATGTGATCGATTGGGAAAATGTTACTTACTTTTCTTCCTCAGATGAAAATGGAACAGGTATTTTAAACCATGACTATTCACGAATTCACTTTTTGCTTTCCATTTTTTCCCATGAGTATTTGGTTAAGCACTTACTGTGTACCAAGGATTGGTTTAAGAACTGGGGACAAAAGAATGAGCAAAACCAAAAATCCAGACAAGCTTCCTGTTTTCTGCATCACAGGATGTGTACCCTCTTGGTAAATACAAAGGTTCAGCAAATGATTTTTTAAATGTGAATTATGGATCCATTACCTGACAAGATGGAGTAAGTCCTGTGATGTGCTATTGGGAATCCATGAATCGTTTTCTATGGGAGTAACGTTGAACTGAAATCAGGAGTCAGGTGGAGATCTCTAGGTGAAGGCAGTGTCACCTAAGCCACTTCCTCAGACACCTGAAGGAACTGTAGCTCCGTGGTGCCCTGCTTCATCACCCCGGTTGAGGATCTCAGTGCCCATAGCATCACATTTTCTCTGCTGATCGATGTAACTTAAGAACAAACTTGAAGGTGGTTTATTAAATGGCGGTATCTTTGACCTACATTTAGGGGGTTTTCATTCAGTTTTCCTCTATGTAAATGTAATTTTTATACGTGTGTTTATCATTTGCTTGGAGTAAACTATTATCTAACCGGTCAATTAACCAAAAAAATAGCTCTCGTTTTATGTTATTTAAATCTGTCCTGTTAAAATAGGACCGGAAAACATGTACCATGCAAGCACATCCCAACTCACGATGACTCTGACCTCTGGAAACACATTTTAGAATGCTGAAAAATGTGTCAGAGCTGTTTTCCCCCACCTGACAAGAACAAAGACAGATAAATCTAGAGATTTATTAGTGCAACATGCTTTTGTGGCAAAATTAGCAGGAATCTAACCTTTGGGATTTACAGAAAACAGAAGAAAACAGGAAAAAAATCTTTTCAGTTAACCTATCATTCATGAGAGAGAGCATTTTAGAAAACAAAGTGTACTTCTAGGGATTTCGGCACTGGTTCAAATGTTAGATGGCTGGGATTCTTCAGGGAAAGGAGTTTTAGATCTACTTTAGAAATAAAAAACAAATCTGAATTATAAAAACCAGAATTCCTAAAAACAAACTTTAAAATTCTGTCTTTGAGCCATATAGCCATACAGTGGAATTTGAGAAGTAAAAAAAAAAAAAAAAACTGTTATGTTAATTTCTCATACGCTTTTTCAGCCACAAGGAATTGTTTTAGAGAATGAAGAACAAGCAAGGTCCTGATTTTCTTGTTTCTGGACTGACATTTCCAGTAGATGTAATGATGTTTTGCTCCAGTAGAATTTTATCACCGATTAACACTAAAATAATCGTGCTTGTAGAGGGAGCAAAACCAGGAAGACGGGGGCCGCTGGGTGGCTCGGTCAGTTAGGCGCCTGCCCTCGGCTGTATGTTGTCCCGTTAGCGCCTTAGTCTGTTGGGGCAGCCACAACAGAACAGCACACGCCGGGGGGCCCCTAAGCAACAGACATTTCTTTCTCACAGTTCTGGAGGCCAGGCGTCCCGGATCACAGCACCAGAGCGTCCGGTGTCCTGGGATGGAGCCCCGCCTGTGCTCCCCGCTCAGTGGGGTCCCCGCTCGGTGGGGAGTCTGCTTCTCCCTTTCCTTCTGTGATTTCTCTCACTTTCACTCTCTCAAATAATTAAATTTTTAATAATCTTAAAAAAAAAAAAAACAGGAAGGCCAGCATCTCATTAGTATTTATTCTTAGAACGATTGTGTCTTTGGCCAAATGTGCTATAATAGTGTCAAAAACACAGCGGCCTTAGGTTACTGTGTGAGTGCCAGAATTCTTCTAGATCAAACAGCATTTTCTTTGAGTCCTAGAGCAGCCATCTGTCTGGAGTACCCTCGTAGGAGGCCAGTTTATTTCCCCCAAAACAGAAATAAAGGCAAGTCCCGTGAGAGGCCAAGCCAGAGGCACAGTTGACTTCTGTGTCCTCTGCCCTGAGCACCTTCCCATCCTCTCCAGCTCAGGCCAGCAGGGAATGCAGCCCCGCCTCATGCCTGGGCCAGTCCTAGTTCTGGCTGGTGGCCTTTGGAAAACCCAGCACCGCCCACAGTCGGGATTTGGAATGGGTCTTGCCAAACATACCCGAAGGGTCTACAGGAATCCATCCAGCTGGCTCCTCTCCCAGGACGCAGATGCCCACCGGCCGTCCTGCTACAAATGGGCATTCTGCTCGGAACCTGTCAGTGATGGGATAGAGCACAGCTCAGCCTCTTTCCAGTCACGGGACCATCCGGCTCCGCCGTCCTTCCCCCTCTTGGTTCCTTCGTTCTGAACAGTTCCCTTAGGAACGTATTGGTAATACCCCAGTGACCCCTAGACTTTTCAGGCCCACAGGCCTCAGATGCTTCCTCACGTGGCTGTATAGTGGATGGGAGAATGACACATTCAGCGACGAGCTCTCTTAGAGTTATGTTGGGTTTGTCGGCACATCTTCCAGACCGTTGGACCTGGAAAGGGACCTGTGGCCACAGTCAGTTTCAGGAGCCCTGGGATCTCTGGGAACGCTTTCCAGCACAGCCCTCAGAGGCAGGGAGAAGCAGAGATGACAGACATGTGTACACCGTTGGCTGCATCGCCCTGCTTGTCTGCCAGACCCAGGGATGGAGTATGTTGAGAACTTCATTGAGTTGGTGTTGACACAGATTAAGGTCTAATTTTGCTTCATTTTGCGTTATCAAACCTCAAATGCATAAGCCCAGTCCTTCTATAACTTCACACGGGGTGAGTTATAACACAAAAATGTGTTGAAAATGCTCCAAAAGACCTCCTACATAGATGGCTGTGTTTGTGGCAGATTTTTGTGCAGCGCCCTTTAAATCATGCATCTTAACTGATCTTGGGGGCTCATGTCTCCCTAAGAGGGATCCACATCGAGCAGAGATTAATTACTTCCAGGAGGCCATTCTACCCAATAATTCTTGATGGGAAAAGGAGCATTTGAAATACCAACTGTACAATTTACACTAAGTGGTGAAATATTCATTTTGGTACCAGCTGTTCTATATTAGACATTTTTACACTACAAATAGCTCTGGAATGGCACATAGCTGGGAACTGTATGTGTTGTTTTATCTGGGAGAGGAAATATCGTTGTCTTTTACTGCAAGAGCACCTGGGGAGCAAGTCAGCTTTGGGCAAGGAAAAATGCACTGAGCCAACCTTCTAGAATCTGAAAAGTATGGTTTCTAGAGTGTTAATGCTTGCTTGTACAATAATGTCTTATACAATTTACATTACCCTCCCAAAGGGAGGGAGGAGGACAGAAATCAAGCACAGAAAACCCACTTTTATCACTTTTGTCTATTCAGGTTTCAAAGTTTTTTAAAGAACTCTGTACCTTATGAATGGGTGAAAACAGTTTAGTGTGTGAACTGGGCAGGAGAAGGCATGATGCTGTTTTCATTGGAACAAGGAATGTTGGGTCCTGTCTGAGCGTCCTGCCCTCGGAAAGCTCGCAGTAGGTTCCAGAAGATACACACAGTGCATCCTCATTGTGGTGGAGTCTGTGTGTGCATGTTTGCTTACTTGCTAACGTTTGTTTGTAACCCCAAACCAATACTTGTGACACTTTCACCGCCATCCGTGGACGTGCAGAATGGTAAAAATTTCTCATCGATACACCCACATCCCCAGCTGAGTTGGAATAAGACCATGCTTTGCCTTCTTCCTCTTTCAGTTCTTGTACTGAAAGCAGGTGTCCTTTATGTGGTCCCATGTTTTTCTCATTTTTTGTGCTTTTGGTTGCTGATTGCAGAACATAAAATGACCCGTGAGCACAGTGTAATGTGCTGTCCAGTGTCCCTGAGTGTAAGGTGGCTGTGATATGTCTTTAGGAGAAAATAGTGTGAGAAAAATTTCATTGCGGCATGAGTTATCCAGTGCTGATGGATGGGCATTTGGTCTGGATGAAGCACCAATATATATGAAATAAGAAAGCTGTCATTTTAAAACTGTTTTGTTTGTTTTCTTCCTTATTTTAAGTAATCTCTACACAACATGGGGTTCAAACTTATGATCCTGAGGTCAAGAGCCGCACCTCCACCTACTGAGCCAGCCGAGTGCTCCTTAATAAGGAATCTTTAAGCAAAAACACACGTAAAACAAGGTTATGTATTGATCAATTGATGAAAATGACCAGAGGCCTGCAGGCACCCTTCCCTGCATTTCCCTTAGGAGCAACGGTTCAGGATTTGCAAATTCAGTGTGCATGGTGATTTATAGAACCTCATTGCCACAGACAATAGATTTGACTGTGTGTATGTGTGTGTGTTTAAGTATATATGTATGTGGGTGTGCATGTATGCATATATGTATACATGTACGTTATTAAACGACTGGAAGTACATATAGATATCACGGGAACACACGAAATA